CAGCAACAGCAACAACAGCAACAGCGATAACAGTGAATACGACCAAACCGACAAACTAGCATTTGTTTTGACGAGGCTAATGCAAAGTAACTCACGTATTTAATAGTAATTCCCAGTTGGAGCGCGCAAAGTTCCAGGCGAGGTATTTGCCAACAGGATTATAAGCGACGTAACTGATCACGCTAACCATGTCCTGGGAACGAATCAAACTCGAGTTCAACGAACTTTGTAAAAACCTGAAAGAAATGACGAAAAAAAACATGATTAGAATGAGAATAAACTATCCAATTATTTCTTCTCGTGGAATGCGTTCCGCCCTTATTTTTCAGCCCTTTTTCCTGGCCCCTTTTTCTTTGCCCTTTTTTCCTTGTCCTTTTTTCCTGGCCCTTTTTTCCTGGCCCTTTTTTCCTGGCCCTTTTTTCCTGGCCCTTTTTTTCCTTGCCCTTTTCTTCCTTGCCCTTTTCTTCCTTGCCCTTTTTTCCTTGCCCTTTTTTTCCTTGCCCTTTTTTCCTTGCCCTTTTTTCCTGGCCCTTTTTTCCTGGCCCTTTTTTTCCTTGCCCTTTTCTTCCTTGCCATTTTTTCCTTGCCCTTTTTTCCTGGGCCTTTTTTTCTTGCCCTTTATTCCTTGCCCTTTTTTCTGGCCCTTTTTTCTTTGCCCTTTTTTCCTGGCCCTTTTCCCTCGTGAAAGTTGTCTCGCTTTATTCATCTTACTTGTTTAGTATATAAGGCTGGTTACTCGAGCCCAAAGCAGCCATAAGTTTGCTTCTTTCAGTCACGTCTGTTGTGTTCAAGAATTTCTGGAACAACCAATGCCATTCATCAGGACCAGTGTTAGCTATTCCATACCGATAAACCAATGAACGTATGTCAACATCTATTGTTAGTCTGTTTGGCGAGAAAAAACGTGATTCAAATGAATCTTGATGTAACATGAAACTAGGCGAGGCGCGAACACAAAATGATGGTTATTACCTTTGACCGTCTTTCCATTGCATAAAAATATCAGTTACATTTTTCTTTGCATCCTTGTCGCCATTGTTGCAAGCTGTTGCCAACAAAGACACCTGGAAGAACCTGGAAAAAGATCGATAATCAATCGGTGACTAATCGAATTTCTGTCGAGAACAATAACCGATGTAAAACTAGTTTGGTTGTGTAAAAATATGCAAAAATAGATACCGTTCAGTAATCGATCATTAATCGGGTAGAAATCGATAATTATTAGGTACTTACTTTTCAATGTGTCCACTTCGAGGCTCCCAACCAAGTTTTTCCACATGTGGTCTGACTTTATTACGAATAAATTTCTGCAAATGGACGAAATTATATGTCAGATTCATTTAAGTTATGTTGTGGGCATTATATTGTGATTGAATGACGAGTAACTGTGTGTTCTTTGATTGTCTCAAAGTGGAAACCATTTGAACGTCACAGTACCTGTATTAGTTCCAATATTGTGATTGGAAGATGAGTACCTGTGTGTGCTTTGATTGGTTTAGATCTGTTATGATTGACATACCTGTAGGTTACCAAAGCAAGGTCTGTTGCCCAGTACCGTCTTCAGGTAACTCAAGCTGCTTAACGCAGTCTTCCAAGGCACGTATTTATCTTCTTTAGTCAAGTATTGTAACATATCCAGGGCTGTTTGGTATTCTACAAGACCCGCCCTGAAACACGATGTACAAATTATTGATACTAGAGTGATTGTACGAAAAGAACAGACACAAGAAGCTGATGATCATCTATAATGAGAAATAATGATGATGACAACTGATGATGGTGATGATAACTGATGATGGTGATGATAACTGATGATGGTGATGATAACTGATGATGGTGATGATAACTGATGATGGTGATGAT